GTACATAAATGATCTTCCAAACTGTTTAGAGACAACCAAAGCAAATCTTTTTGCTGATGACACAAGCCTTTCTTGTGAAGGGTTTAGTCCATATGAAATTGAGATCAAACTTAATAAAGACATTGAAAATGTTCATAGGTGGATGAATTATAACATCAAACTGCATTATTATAATATATGCCAATCAAGCTCAGAACACGAATGGTTTTAAATACATGATGTTGCGTCGTTCTTTAGAAACCTTATCATGATATTACATGCCAAACAACCTATAGTACCCCGGGTAATGCAGGGCAAAATGAGACACCTAAGGACATTTACTGTTGTAGAATGGAAGGCATAGCAATTTGAAATTTCTTTTTGACTTGGGTATGTGAGGTTGACTCACAGCAAGATATGTAAAGCAAAAAAAAATGTTTGAAATAATTTATTTGCGATAAATCGAGGAAAACCTAGCAGTGGTAATTGTCTCATCTTGCCCCGGCACAGTGAGGCAAAATGAGACAGGGCTAAAAATTAAAAATAAAGTCAATATAATTATACTTATTTTAATAGAACTTTAGAACTAATTATAAAATACATGTTTCAAATCATTTTTAAGTTCAATGTCACACACACACACAGGTCACATTGGCTGCGGTAACAGTACAGCGTTCTTCGTGACACCATTGTTTGCATTGTGAACAAGTCATCCAATCCTCACCAGGCATGACTTTGACCAACGTTCACCACAAAAAGATAAATTTTTTAGCCTACCATTGACTCGGCGATTTAATCCCTGTAGGCATTTGAAGCTTTCGTATCGACAGTTCTTCTCAACTGCAGAGGTGGCAAGACAGATTTGATCCTCATTCCAGTTTGCACATTGAGTTTTGCATACATAGTTCCTGACCGTCCTAAATAAAATAAAAGTTAGTTTGATTTGTGACATGGACTAAGCTGTTTATAGCATAAAATATATGACATATGAACTTATGATAAATTGTAGAATAAAAGTACATATTGACTCAATCAGAAACATAAACCCTTTAACTTTCGCAAGCAGGAGAAAGTGGTATTAAATCAACAATTGAGGAATATAATACAGATAGTACTGGTAATAATCCAAGATAGTATTTATATCATATATATTAAGAGATTGACAATAAGGTAGAGCACAGTAAAAGGTGAAATGATCAGCAACACACTGAATAAATATATATTACTTGGTTTTGACTCAGCTGTCTCATTTTGCGTCAATGGTATAAGCTCAAGTCAGTCAAATAAACACGCCAAAAATCAAAGTATAGATGAAAATTGACAAAAATACCACGTGTGACTTGAAAGACCATGTTATAAACCCCATCAAACAAATAGGTTTTATTCGATACATGCGATGTTCTAGAAATAACAACCGGTTAGCTAAAATAACTAAGTAATAACGTACCTTTAATTGCCGATCGATCATCCAAATTGGTTTAAAAAATCGTTATTTTCTCGTTGTTTTTGTGCAAATTTAACACAGTTTTCGACGAAGTATACAAGCAAAAATGTTTGTCATTGAGCCTGCGATGATTGTGGTATAAATAATTAAAAGAACGTCATATAAGTGCGAATGAGTCGGAGTGTCTCATTTAGCCTCACTGTCTCATTTTGCCCTGCATTACCCTAATATTAGGGGGAAACAGCATTAAGCGAGTTTATCAAAAAAAGTCACTAGGCATGATCCTTGACGACCAGCTAAAATGGAATAAACATAATGAAATGCAATGTAAAACAATTTCAAATAATATCGCCCTGCTGAAAAGAGCAAAATTGTTTGTCAATAGAGATAGTCTGATAAAAATCTACAATGCCTTAGTGTGGCCTCATTTCAATTATTGTTCAACAATCTGGAATGATGGATGTTGTTCGATAATTGATAAACTG